TAAAAATTTTGGGATCGTATTTTTACGCCATACCCTGAAACACGGTTAGTTTTACTGGAACCGTACTGTGGTACTATCACAGAGCCTGGGATACCTATGGAAAGCACTGGCGGGCGGTGAATTTCTGTAGATGCGAAGAAATAAATTGTTTTCTCGACACTGATGAATATTCAAAAAATCCTGTTTTTTTTTCTCGTAACTTAAGGGTCTAGACTCGGTTCTCGCGTCTAACAGCCGAGAATCAAGTTTCGAATACTTTTGAACAATACTGTAGCTTTAGATAACATGCCTTTCGTGCTTTTGCGCACACTGAAAGCGTGTTATGCTATTTCGCGCGCAGCTATTGTTTAAAAACTTGAACACGCTCTTTTGTTTGACTTGCTCGCGCTTAATTGTCTCAAGCGTGTCCTCTGAAACAAAAGAAATTGCTAATGACGCAAGATAACAAGTGTGCTAAAGCGTGTTGTTAAAATAAATTCTTTTGTTTTAAAGTTGAAGCGTGTCGTGAGTGTGCTTTCACCTTTAGCATCAAAATCCTGTGGAGGGTCACAAATTATCGTTAGAAAAAAACACGATATTAATTTCTTTTTTAAATGGAGATATGATCGTCGCAGTGGTAATTGCGATTTAAGATATTGCAAATTAAGCCCGAAAAAAAAATTTCTGGACTTCAAAGGGATTCGAACCCATGGCCTCAGCGTTTAGCGCTGCAGTGCTCTAACCAATTGAGCTATGAAGATTAGAAACGCAGAGCCGCCATGGGTTCGAATCCCGTTGAAGTTCCGAAATTTTCTCCGAGGTTAACCACTCTAGGGCTTCAAGTGCATTGGTAGCAGATGAGTGGAAAGGTCGGTTTAATATAGTTTTGGCAGCCTTGTTCTGTAAAAGTTGTAAATTGTTCATGAGTACGGCATTGTCCTTATCCCCCCAAACAATGCCGTCATAATCAAAGTTCGGGAGAATGAGCCTGTTATAGAAATGAAATCGCGCAATATGTGGAAGCAAAGACTTAGTCTTCCTTAAAAAGCCTTAACGTTGATTTGTTTTCTGGGGAAACATATTTAAATTGCTCCGTCCAGGGAAAATTTGAGGGTAAGTTAAAGTATCCAACCCTCCCCCCCCCCCCCAACTTCTTTGTCAAATACCGAGACAGATATCGGTGGTAGCACGCAATTTGCGATCGCTGCCGATAAGCATGGACTTGGTCTTCTCTATATTAAGTGTAAGCTTAATTTAAGTCAGCCACAGAGCTATCCTCTAAAGAACTTCATTCAGAGCCTGATTCTCAAGATCTTTTATGTTAGAGGAGTAGCAGTATAAAACAGTAACTATCGTTCGCATAAGGGGATACACTACAGTGATTGACAACAGTAGGCAGATCATCTATGTAAACAAGAAAAAAGTAAGGGCCCCAGGATTCTTCCTTGTGGTGCACCATAAGTAACAGGTAGAGAATCGAAGATGTTAAAGCTTGAGGGCCAGGATTTGAAGCTACATCGTTAACCAGACAAACAAAGTGCTGATATGGATCTGTAAGCTAAACGGTATAGCCAGTAGCTAACACTTCGCGTTTCGTAGGAGTCAGTTGAGACTTAAATCTGAGAGATGGTTGAAGGCTGGGAAGGCCAGAAATGTATTGTTTAGGCTGATTAACCTCTTTAGAAGTATAAGTGATATTCTTACCATCATCTAAAGTAGATGTTAGGCCCAAGATGACCTACAACAAAATAACGCAGAAATTCAGCCTACTGCTCGACCACGTTGCCGCCGTCATGTTGCACTACGTAATTGACCCACACTGGCATCCCCCTAGATAAAGTAAATTATGTCCATTGTGTAAGTCAAATGAAGTTGATAATAAACCTCACCTCTTGTTTTAACGTAATATTTACTCAAGGCCTTGGCAGACATTTTTTAATCAAATCCATGAAACGATACCTGACATTCAACAAAAATCAACATTACAAACTGTAGGTGATAACGGTTTACAGAGTGTCAATAGTCCCTAGGAATACAATTCCAGGAAAGTTAGCCTACATTTCAAAAAGTAAGTGGGTACGAATAATCGCCATAAAAACTGAATGAAAGGAAATTCACTTTTTGTTGGCTACGTTCCTCGTTGCCGTCGTGCGGCTGGACCTTAAAGTCCCAAGTAAGAACTCAGAGCTTCCGACGTGCTTTTTTTAACACGAAGACGTCTTTCGAAACTGCTTTAGCGTAGAGAATGCCTTTGTTTTATTTGAAACAGGTCCTCTACGATTGTGATTTTCCTTGGTCTTGTAGAAGTTGTTGCTTTTTTGCTAATAGGTAGAGGCAATGTTTGTTCTATTGTTCTCTCGTAGGATTGCAAGTCATAAATGTAAAAAACTCAAGTTTAAAACTGATTTGATTTTACATCAAACATGTTTCTTTTCCAGGTCCGTAAAGTTTACATCTTCTTTGAGCATGATCAGGACTCCACTTTCGTTAAGGCTCTGAACTTGGTTGGTGACAGCAAACT